ATGTTACCTTATCTAATAAAAAAATGTGCATTTAACTTATTACTTAACCTAGTTTAAATAATTTTACTACACACACATAGAAAAATTTTCTTATTTTTCTTAAGATGCTTTTAGTCATCACTTACAATTAGTATTTTTAATTTTAATTAGTCAATTTTAATTCCAAAAAGTTAGTCGAGAGCTAAACGTAGTGCAAATGATATTTTTTGATGTGACTTAAATAGTTTTATACGATATGATAAATTGTTTTTATCATAATGTGTGAAAATGTTTGGAACAGAATTAAGTAGTTAGGTACTTAAATTAAATTAATAAAAATTAAATAAGTTTTAATTCGAGGAGGATTCTCAATGAGACATGGGATGGTAGAAAAAAAAAAAAAATATATATATATATATATATATATATATATATATATATATCTTCTGAAATTTAATTTACCATTTTACCATGTTTCTTTTACCATTCTATGTCTCATTGAGAAATCCTGATGTCATTTTGCTTTAGAATAGTTTTAAAATCTCATTAAAATATTTTTCAAAATTTTAAGAAAAAAATAACTAGTTAGTAGATCAGAAGAAATTTAACAATTGCATTTAGTATAGGGAACGATGGGAACCTAATTTATTTTACCTGTATTAGCCGTCTGTACTATTTTTACTAACAGTTGCATTTATTTGTTAAATAATAAATTTTAATTAAATTAATAAAAAAAAATCTACGTCACAAATTCGATGTCGATACAACGTTGTCGCGATATCGCATGTTTAGTAACTTTGAAACTTTTATAACTTTTAAACGGTTTGTTTAATTTGAGTGAAATATTTGGCAAATTTCTTGGAAATTAAATAATGTACAACTTTGTCTTTTACCAAAAGTCCTTACATCAACTCGGTATACTCATAATTTAATAATTTTTAATTGATGTCGACCCTACGTTGTCGCAATGTTTACTAACTTTCAAATTCTTGTAACTTTTAAACTGTTTGTTTAATTTAAATGAAATATTTGGCAAATTTGTTCAAAATTAAATAGTCTATAACTTTTTCTAACATCCTAAGTCCATAGAGCAACTCGGTATACTGAAAAATTAATAATTTTAAATTGATGTCGACACTACGTTGTCGCAATGTTTACTAACTTTAAAATTCTTGTAACTTTTGAATGGTTTGTTTAATTTGAATGAAATATTTGGCAAATTTGTTTGAAATTAAATAATTTACAACTTTGTCTAACATCTTAAGTCCATAGAGCAACTCGGTATACTCATAAATTAATAATTTCTGATTGATTTCCTGAAAGATTTACTTTGTAATTGGTGAAAGTACATTCATTCGTTGTTTCTCCGATAACTTTAAAACTATTTGCGGAAAACTAAAAGTGTATTTGAAGAAAATGTATAAAATTGAATAGTTTAAAATATTTTCTAACATAGGAAGACCCTACAGCAACTCGGTATACTCCAAAAGTTTATTGAAAAGTTGATAAATATTCTGGGCGCTTCTTTGGTTCATGTTTGATTCTATCGAAAGTACACTTCTTTGTTAATCATTTATAACTTTTGAACCGCCTGTTCAATTTGAATGAAATATTCGGCAAATTTGTTTAAAATTAAATTATCTACAACTTTGTCTAACATCAAAAGTACCTACAACAACTCGATATACTCATAAATTATTAATTTCTAATCGATTTCCTGAAAAATTTACGTTGTTATTGGTGAAAGTGCATTTATTCGTTACATTTCTGATAACTTAAAAACTATTTGCGGAAAACTAAAAATATGTTTGGAGAAAATATAGAAAATTGAATAGTCTAAAACATTTTCCTAACATAGGAAGACCCTACAGCAACTCGGTATACTCAAAAAAGTTTGTTGAAAAGTTGATAAATATTCACAGCGCTTCACTGTTTTGTTCTTGAGTTTAGGAAAAGTGCATTTATTTATAACTTTTGAACGGTTTATTTGATTGAAATGAAATATTCGGCAAATTTATAGAAAATTAAATAATCTACAAATTTTTCTTTTACCGCAACAGAAACCAACAAAATATTCCCTTCGGCTAATACGGGTAAACATCACAAAATGTATCGAATCAATATTTTTTTAAAATTGAAAATTTGCAAATGATAAATGGAATTGTATTTATATTTTTTTCTAAAAATGAATGTGTAACTATTCCAAGGAATGGTAGAATGTAAGAATAATAATATTATTCGATGTGAAATTGTACAATTAAATACGTTTATTCGATGATAATAATTAATTTTCGACATTGCAAACAAACAGTTGATATTTTAATATGGAGATAAAAAAAACGACGAAAAATGATAAATGATAAATGATAAATGAGTATATTTTAAATACAAAAACTTTCAAATGTAGATAGTCAATATGTAAATAATTATTAATAAAGTTATTTATAAAAGTATATATTAAGTTTTTTGAAAAAACATGTTTGTTTGTAATTTTCAGATGGAACATGTACAAATATGTATTTATCTGGTACGGAACCCTATTGCATTTTGTGGTCCATCGTATAGGGCTTGTCGAGACCTTTCAAATTAGCCCCCACATGCCCCTATTTGACGTGACAATGTTTTTACCAGTATTGACCCGCTGTACTATATATAGTACGACGACTCGTTTAGTCGCGTTTGTTTATTGCAACCCTTGTAACTTTTAAACGGTTTGTGCAATTAAAATGAAACATTCAGCAAATTTGTGCAAAATTAAATTATCTAAAATCTTGTCTAACATTATAGAACCCTAGAGCAACTTTATATACTTTAAAATCGTGTTTGAAAATATAATTAAGTTCTTAGCTATTTATCTCGTACGGAACCCAATTGCTTTTTGGGGTGCATCATTTCAATATTCGTATAGGGCTCGTTAAGACCTTTCAAATGAGCCCCCACATGCCTCCATTTGACGTGACAAAATTTTTACCAGTATTGACCCGCTGTACTGTATTTATAGTACGACGACTCGTTTGGGCGCATTTGTTTATTACAACCCTTGTAACTTTTAAACGGTTCGTGCAATTGAAATGAAATATTAGGCAAATTTGTACGAAATTAAATTATCTACAACAGGTCTTATATCATAAGACAACAACTCGGTGTGCTTTAAAATTACAATCAAAAATCGTCTTCATTCTGTGCGATCTAGAAGTGCATATATATTTTTTGCAGCGTCTTCAAATCTTTAACAATTTGTTTAATATAAATGAGACCTAAGACAAATTTGTTTAAAATCAAATTATTTATAATTTTCTAGAACAAAAAAATGCTCTTGAACAACTCGGTATACTTTTAAATAATAATTGATTATTAAAGTAAAATTCTGATGGGACATGATGCAATACATTTTTATATCGGCTATAACTTCAAAACCATTCGATTTTTATAAATGATGTTTATGCGAAGATAGTACAGAATTAAATAATCTACAAACTTTATGAACAATAAAATGTCCTCGAGCCACTTGGTATACTCTAAAATTTCAATTGAAATGAGATAATTAATTTAAAATGACTAAAGTGCACTTTGTAATTGTATTTTTTATAAAAAATGTGTAAAATTATTATTATATATATATATGTATTGTATATATATATATAAATATATATATATATTTATTTATTTATTTATTTATAATTTTAATATAAACAAGTTTATCATTTTTAAATGTTCTTTTTCGTTATTTGAAATATTTAAAGAATTTATATAAGTAGATTTGATTTGTGTATCCAATTTAAATAATTTTAAAATAATTATATATATATATATAATTAAATATATATATATATATATATATATATATATATATATATTTGTTTAAATAATTGAGAGGATGCACATTTACAGATAAATTTGTATAACATAACACGAATTTCTTCGAATTGATGTCATTTGTTTATATTTTATAAAAGTAGTATATCTATTAATATATATATATATATATATATATATATATATATATATATATATTATATATATAATTATTTATGTATATTTAAATTTGTATGACTAAACAGCGCTTTCTATTAGAATTTCGCTGAAGTTTATTTCTATTGATTTGAATCTCGGCTAACCTTGATAAGTTTTGCTGAACTGTAGAACCAGTTTTAACCGTTAGGTGCGTCAGGGGAGTACAACCATATATATTATATATATTAAATATTATAATATATATACATACATATATATATATATATATATATATAAACCCGAAAAACTCCGTTTCGCCACCAGATGGTTTCGTGAGAAAGATGAAGAATTTTTTTGTTTGTTTTATATTTCAAAAGGAAAAATTTGATTTTATTGCACAACAGTAATGAATTTATTTCGATTACAAAAATGAAGTGTTTTTTAGTTGAACTTCTCTAAGTAAATGAAAGTGAATCCGCCAATTATCCGTTTCATTGAAGTGCTCTTTGGTAAGCCACATTTTTTGTTTTCTGGTCTGACGTTAACACAAACAAAGCGGATGGTTTTCCAACTCGCAAACAGGCAACGTATAACTGCCCATGTAAAAAACAATGATTTTCTGAATAATCTATTTGAAATTTATCCCACAAAAACTATGCGATTGGCCTTGCGACTTGTTATTGCGAACGCAAGGCGAACTGGAAATTGCAATCGTTTGAAGTCAAACGGAAGACCAGTCGGAATCATTGGTATGTCAGCAAATCGCCAGCAATTTTTTATTGAATGGTGAAATTCAGTGCGTGTACATCATTATTCTTTGCGGCAAGAATTGGTCGTTGACTTAACCAAGCATAATTCTGATAATTCTCATTAATGCCATTACTCAAATTTTCAATTACGGTGCGTGAAGTTCCAGCAATTTGCCTCAAGGCACAATGCCACTTACACCTTGCTTTTATTATCAATATTTTTTTAGTTAGGTTTCGCACCCCTGTTATCTCGCTCGCACACATCCTCGCTCTTGCTCTTGATCCTCCGTCGAGCAAAACCAAAATGGCAGTCACTTCTGTGCGTTCTGTCGGTCGTCAACTCGACATTTTCGATTAAAATTAACAATAAAATACAACAGAAACTTGGTAAAAAAACATCCGAGAATTAATCGTAATGTGTGCGTGTAATTAATTATAAATAATCCTTCGATGTAATTTAAAAACAAACGATTTTAATTATTGTTTATACCACCATGGTGGTGATGGAAGTTGTTCTATGTGTTGTGTTGTGATAAAGGAATCTAATTTTGTATGGAGATTTGGGAAATAATAATTAGAATAGATAAAGGTAAGTCGATAAATGATAGTTATATATTTGCATTATATTTTTGGGTTTTTGTGGGGTTTTTGTAGGGTTTTTTTGAGGTTTTTTGGGAGGCCCACAGCGACCCGAATGTGAGATGTCAAAAATTGATTTTGTATGAAGAATGAGTTTGAGTGGAATTTTTTGTGTATATATAATTTATATATATATATATATATATATATATATAAATCGGGTCAGCTAGTATATATATATATTAAGTAATTTTTAACCTATTGGCAAATCCACAAAATTAAATACAATTTCCAAAAAAATGCTTTTAACAAATTTACTCCTAAATTTTCTCCAGAGTGAACTTAGCTGCTATATAAAAATATTGCATTTTTGTTCCACCAGAATTTGGTTTTAATATTCAATTATTATTTTAAAGTATACAGAGTTGTCCTAGAGCCTTTTGTTGTTCTACAAAATCATAAATATTTAATTTTAAACAAATTTCCCAAATATTTCATTTATTTTGGTCTAATGGTTCACAAGTTATAGATGATATAAAAAAGTATTGCATCATGACCCATCAGAATTTGATTCTAATATTCAATTATTATTTTAGAGTATACCGAGTTGTCCTAGAGCGTTTTGTTATTCTAGAAAATTATAAATAATTGAATTACAAACAAATTTCCCTAATATTTCATTTATTTTAGTCAAATGGTTTAAAAGTTATAACAAATATGAAAAAGTATTACGTTATGTCCCATCAGAATTTGATTCTAATATTCAATTACCATTTAAAAGTATACCGGTATACCAGTATATTTAAAAGTATATATATATAGAGTTGTTCTGGAGCGTTTTGTTGTTTTAGAATATCATAAATAATTTCTTTATAAACAAATTTCCCAAATATTTCATTTATTTTAGTCTAACGGTTTAAAAGTTATAGAAGATACAAAAAAGTCATGCACCATAAGTAGTCAGAATTATATTTTTGTGTTCTTTATCAATTTTAAAGTATACCGAGTTGTCCTAAAGACTTTTGTTGTTCTAGAAAATCATGAATAATTTAATTACAAACAAATTTCCCAAATATTTCATTTATTTTAGTCTAATGGTTTAAAAGTTATTGAAGATACAAAAAAGTGGTGCACCATAACGAGTCAGGATTATATTTTTGTGTTCTTTATCGATTTTAAAGTATACCGAGTTGTCCTGAAGACTTTTGTTGTAAGACAAAGTTGTAAATGATTCAATTTACAACAGTTCTGTCTTTAACATCATCAAAATCAAACAATTGGTTTAGGATTTATAAATAATATAAAAAATCAATGCATTATTAGTTTGAAAGTTATCTAATAATAAGATTCTAAATCTAAGATGCTAAATAAATTTTGTTCAAAGTCCTTTTTCGAGTATACCGAATTGTCTTAGGGTCTTTTGGTATTAGAGAAAAATGTTTATAATTTAATTTTGAACAAATTTTACAAAAACACTATTTCTTTTCCACAAATATTTTGGGATTTATCGAAATTTTAATAAATGGATTACAAATGTTGAATGAATTTGTTCAAAGTTCTTTTTAAGATATACCGAGTTGTTCTAGAGCGTTTTGTTGTTCCAGAAAATTATTAATAATTTTATTATAAACAAATTTCCCAAATATTTTATCTATTTTAGTCCAATTGTTCAAAAGTTATAACAAATATAAATAAGTATTGCTAGAAGTCTTATCAGAATTTGATTTTAATATTCAATTATTATTTTAGAGTATACAGAGTTGTCCTAAAGCATTTGGTTGTTCTAGAAAATTATGAATTATTTAATTATAAACAAATTTCCCAAATATTTCATTTATTTTAATCCATTGGTTTAAAAGTTATAGAAGATACAAAAAAGTGATCCCCCATAAGTAGTCAAGATTATATTTTTGGGTTCTTTGTCGATTTTAAAGTATACCGAGTTGTCTTAGAGACTTTTGTTGTCCTAGAAAATTATAAATAATTGAATTCTAAACAAATTTCCCAAATATTTCATTTATTTTAGTCCAAAGTTATAAAAGATACGAAAAAGTCATACACTATGAGTAGTTAAGATTATATTTGTGTTTTTTTTTATCAATTTTAGAGTACCGAGTTGCTCTAGGGCTTTTCTTGTTAATAAAGTATTTGTATTATTTAATTATGTAAAAACTTTCCATATACAATCATACATCAAAATTAAATTATTTATAATTTTCTAGAACAACAAAACGCTCTAGAACAACTCGGTATACTTTTAAATGGTAATTGATTATTAAAATAGCATTCTGATGGGACATAATGCAATACTTTTTTATATTAGCTATACCTTTAAAACCATTCGATTTATATGAATGATGTATATGGAAAGTTTATACAAAATTGAATATACTAAAACTTTTAATAACAACAAAATTCCCTAGAGCAACTCGGTCTACTCTAAAAAGACTTCAACAAAGTTTATTCATCATTTTGACTCATTTATTAGATCTTTGGAACTGTTTGTGCAAAATAGTGTTTAGGGAAATTTATACAAATGCAAAATATTATTTCTATATATATATTTCTGATAATTTAATTAAAATCTGTGATTAATTCCGGGGATTCACTTGTTTATCACAAAATGTTGGATTTTCAGAAATTGATATATTTATCATTTACATATTGCGGTGGATATAAATGAATGGAATATATTGTTTTTGTTGTAATATTTATTATATTAAAGGTCTTATAATAAATATTTATTCTATTAATTTTTATTTCTATTAATTATTTATATTATTATATTCTTATTTCTATTAATTATTAACTTCCCGTAGGGTAAGTTATTGTAATGGGCCGAAAATCGGAATTGAAAATTTTTACATTTCTCGACGTTTTGAAGGTTTCTGAACGTTTTGGCATACTTCAGAAAAAATGGATGTGTGTGTGTGTATGTATGTATGGATACAAATTTTCGCCACGTTTTCGGGCGTACGGATCAACCGATTTGAATGGTTCAAAAAACATTTGATTCCTATTGATAAGGAGATGTGCTGATTAGTTTTTGGCAAAGGCAGGTCCAGCCGTTACGGAGATAAAGAGCAAAGAGTGCAGAAAATAGAAATCGCGTTTTTGAGAAAACGGAGCATCCGATTTAAATGATTCAAAGAACTTTCTGTTTGTCTTAACAAAATAATTAATTTTGGAAAAAAAATTTTTGTTCCATTTTTTTTTTTTTTAATTTTTTGTATATCGAAAATAATTCAGATTTTATTTTTAATTCTGACTATAGTTCTAATATACTTTAATATAAACAAATAATTTCAACTCTGCAATTCAGTTTACATAATTCTTATAAATATTAGACAATGTTACAGTATTTATTGCTAATAATCTATTTGAAATCATTTAATATTCCTCGAACATTTCGTTACGGTACGGGAAGTTCCAGCAATTTGCCTCAAGGCACGATGCCACCCACCCCACTAGTTTATGATTACTTGAAATATTTCTATTTTATTTAAAAGTTTCTTGATCATTGCGATTTTTTTATATTAGCAAAATGTGTGTTTGAGATAATTTTTATGTTATCTATAACATTTTTTTATGAAATCTAAATAAAATGCGTAAATACGATAACATTATCGTTATTTGCATGTAAAAAAAATATTATCAGGGCAAATATGTTCTTTTTTATCTTTGCTTTCTAATATTGCAATTTGATAGTCGATTTGATTAAAAAAATATGGCCGCACTTTTGTCAGAAATACATATATATATATATATATATATATATATATTATATATATATATATATATATATATATATAATTAGATTTTTTTGTTCGGCGTTGAGACATGTCTTGATTTGATTTTCAGCCAGTCGTCGAAATGAAAGAAACAAATACAAAATATTTATTTAAAATATACGTTTCGACACGGATTGTGTGTCATCATTCAGCAATTCTTTGTTAACAGTATCTAAAAAAATTTTTTTACAAAGAATTTTTTAAAAAAATAAACTTAATTTTATATTTAAAATAATTAAAAAATATACATACCACACCAGGAGAAAAACACACAAAAGTTGCAGTCGTTGCGTACAAAACTACATTACATAATATAAAAAAAATCTGCTTGTGTTGACGAAACAATTGCTTTTAGAAAAAAAGATTTTTTGAATTTTTTTTATAATTTTCAACAAATATTTTTTTGAATATCGAAAATAATTCGGATTTTAATTTTTATTCTGGCTCAAGTTCTAAAGCTCACTTATATACTTTAAATAAATAATTTCAACTTTGCATTTCAGTTTATAAATTTCTTATAAATATTAGACAATGTTACAATATTAATAATAATCTATTTGAAAACATTCAGTATTTTTCGAACATTTCGTTACGGTACGGGAAGTTCCAGCAATTTGCTTTAAGGCACGATGCTGTACACCACTAGTTTTTTCATTTGTAAAAATTTAAAACAAATTCTTAGGGTTGCCTGATGGTACAACATATGTATGTTCATATGTATACAAATTTAAATTAGTTGGACATGTTTTCTTGACCTGCGGAACGACTCGTCTTAGGAATACAAAGCACTTTATAAATAAAAATATATATATATATATATATATACACAAGTTTATATTTGTATATATTCATAATGAACTTGACAATAGTCCATTATATTACATTTTATTTTAATTTAAAAATTCTGTTTATGTTAATGAGTTATTTGTTACGCACACGCACGTGTCAACTTTCTGTTCAACAGAAAGAATTTTTATTTTATTGTATGTCATATATGCGTCAGAAAGTAAAAAATAAACAAATAAGTAGGAAAACCATTTTACGAAGACATATTTCGATAATAGTGAATAGTATAAAACATGCTACTCATTTTTTCTAATAATATAGATAGTAATATGTTTCCAAGTGAAAATAGCTCTTACCCGGCATTGCCGCACCAATAAAAAGTCAGCCCTATTAGATTAATTCTAATAACAAAAATCATCAAATATGGATGGGT